AAGCGTGTAAAACCACACAATACCAACATTGTTATAAAGTTATACGTTTAGTTTTATGTGTGTAAAACCACACAATACCAACATTGTTATACAGTTATACGCTTAGTTTGATGTGTGTAAAACCACATTAATGATGTAAACTTTAGATTAGTACGATGTAGAAAGGTTGGACTTTTTCACCTAACCCTCACTATTTTGTTCAACTTGTTTTTTTGTCACAATGATTCAAAGTTCCCGACTTTAATGTTTTACTTCCTTAGATAATTTCTAGTTTTTGAAAATAAAATATAAAACCTTATATTTTCCACCTACCATTTCATGATTATTTTCAGTAAAAAAACAACAACAGGATTTACAAAGTGGAAATAAGAAATATCTTTGAGACGTAAAAAAAAAAAAAGTACAAACAAAAAATAACCATTCGTCGGACTGAGGGTACTCGGTTCATTCCCGACCCTGGTGGAAGTTCCATAGCAACACGACCTTGTCCCTCTTGTCTTCTACAAAAGCTACATTTCCACCCCTGTAGCAAAAAAGAAACGACTGTTTTAGACGAACGTGGTTAACTTGTTTATTTTATCGAAAACAACATTAGTAGCGTAAAAACATTAAATACAGGTGGCGTAGTTTACAAAAGTAATTTTATTATAAATGGTTAAATTTTATAGTAATTTAGATTGTTAACGTTAATTGAGAAACCATTAGTTTGCTATTAGTTTTATTAGTTTGTGCATAAAATAATAATGAAGCAAAAAACATATTATTTAATAGGCTACTATTTTTGTAAACATTTCATTATTAGGCCTATTTTTATGAAATCATTAAGCCTAATGTTCCTGATGAAACTCATCCTAGACTTCAGATTATCCCTGACACATTTATCTTAACATGCTCATTATAGGTTTCTAGTTAAGAGGCGTCTAAAATGGCATTTCAGTTCTATCTTTTTTGTTTTTTTCTACCGCAAGTCACAGCGCAGACGACCTTTCATTTGATACCAGGACTCGTCAGCTGAGCTGCACCATGATGGCAGCCAAAAGTTGACCTAACATGGCGTTCCTTTTGTATGAAACATGCAATTTTACGAGGCTAAACTCCGATAGTCTATGACACGAATAGGCCTAATATTTGTGATTAAAGCCATTGTAGAGACACATTGTTTTTTTTTTTTACCTGTGAACTGTCTGTACGATCACTTGAGTAAGAAGCACAGTCTTCACACACACTCTGGCCGCATTCATCACATTCTCTGCTCTGTTCGTTCTCTGAAATGTGTTTTCGGCATATTCGGCAACTTTCGCTGGCCGGGGAGGACTGGATTATAGGCTCCGCAGGCCTAGGTAGACTTCAGAAGACAGTTTACAATCAATTATTTTAATTCGCGAATTATTAAAACAAGTTTACAATAATAATATAATAGAGGTAAAAAAAATTATCGGTCTTTAGGGAAAAATCATGCAGAGTTAACGCTCTCGACGTGACTACAGGTTCCAGATTATATATATAACTGATCACGTCAAACGTTTAGTGACACATCCAAACTATGATTTTAAAAGTCTTGAACATCATTTGAAGACTGTGTATAGTTTTAGGTTTTTTTTCTATAGCATGGAACTCTTAATAACAAATGTACATATATATATTTAAACACACAAGTATTTTAAAAAAACAAACCTCGCTTTCCGAGGTTCTTCTTCTATCTCATCGTCCTTCTGCCAAACCTTTCGAAGAATTGACCTCTCTTGGGGCGTGAGACGTGACGTCACTGTTTTTCTTGATTTGTTCGAAGCCGTTCGATCCCTTCCAAATGACATTTCTTGAAGACTCGTCGTCACTGTTTGTTTTAACGTGGTCATTGAACCAGAAGCTTCTCCAGGCTCTGCTCCAGAAGTCTTCATAATCTGGAGATAGTAGTGAAAACCAACTGGTAGTAAAATGATAATTATCTAAAAGTGTGAAGACCAGTCTGTAGTAGAATGATCTTATCTAAAGTGTAAAGACCAACCGGTGATAAAATGATATTACCTAAAAGAGTGAAGACCAGTCTGTAGTAGAATGATATTACCTAAAAAGAGTGAAGACCAATCTGTAGTAGAATGATATTATCTAAAAGAGTGAAGACCAATCTGTAGTAGAATGATCTAAAAGAGTGAAGACCAGTCTGTAGAAAAATGATATTACCTAAAAGTGTAAAGACCAACCGGTGATTTAAATGATATTATTTTCTTGACAACAGAAAAACTACAGGTAAAATTGTATAATGATTTCTGTAGAATATAAGGACAAGTTTTGGGTTGTTGATAATTTTTTTGTAATAATGTTTTTAAAATGATGAAATATTATGATGATATCAGACACATTTATGTCCACGTATAACGTACCTTTTTCATGAAAGACATCACGTTAGTGGAAACCATTTTTCTTCTTCCTTCCTGTTTATTCTTCCTTCCTGTTTATTGTCCTTCCTTCCTGTTTCTTCTTCCTTCCTTCCTGTTTATTCTTCCTTCCTGTTTATTCTTCCTTCCTGTTTATTGTCCTTCCTTCCTGTTTATTGTCCTTCCTGTTTATTCTTCCTTCCTGTTTATTGTCCTTCCTTCCTGTTTATTGTCCTTCCTGTTTATTCTTCCTTCCTGTTTATTGTCCCATAAGTTTACATCAATAATCGAGCATAATGACAAATATTTTCTACTCGGACTTTCTTCACTCTTTCTAAAAGTACTTTGTTGTTAAATCTTACAAATTCCATGTCTTACTTGTGAAGATAGTGTGTTAGAAACAAGCATCAAATCAGCACAAGCATTGCTATTTACATGGCAGTGACAAACATCGGCACTGAATTCAGTCTTAGTTTGACTTTAGAAAGGTGATGATTGAAACGCTTACCTGCTACACTTCCTGACGGTCCCTCTTTTAAAGCACCGTTTACTCGTAGAAGAGACGAGTTCCGTCGAATTTGTGAAGTTCGTTTTGCAAACAAAAACTTAAAAAAAACCCTTGAACTTTGCTGTGTAAATATTCATTGTAGAGCCTTGTCGGTTCCTTCCCTATTGGTTTCGTGTTTAACATCTTGGGTCCTGGAAATAACATAGTTTTATCAGCGTGAGGAATAAGGTGAAATAAGTTAAATTTTATAAGTTTATTATTAACTATAACAACTCGTATTTACGTTTGGTCCAAGAAAACCAAACAGTTTGCAGGGTTTCAGTAAAGTATTCCATTTTTTCAGTTCATCTAGAAAAGTCCGGAAATCTGGACTCGTATATTTACAGTTGTGTATTTATCTATCTCCCTCCATAGAAATGTCTTTTCAATACCCCCCCCCCCAGTTCTTAAAACTATTTTCAAATCCCGTCATTGAACATGTTCGCCCTTTCAGCCGTAGGGGCGTTGTAATATGACTGTCAATCCCACTTTTCGTTGATAAAAGAAATAGCTTGCTCCCAGTGACCCAACGATAAACCTGAAAGCTTATAACTCTAAAAAACTGGGCTTCGATACCCATAATGGGCACAGCACAGATAACCCACTGTGTAGTTTTTGCACTCAACAACAAACAAACAGTTAATTTGATACTAAGATTATTTGTTAAGCCAGACGAGAAATGATTTTTGGTTTTTAGTCACTAAAACACTAAATCTTAGTGGTAATATAAGAATTGAACTAATCACAGTATAAAATAAAAATTTATCAATTTTGATTTCAACGAAACGATGCAACTATTCCAATTTTGCCAACTGACCTAGTGGCTAGTATGCTCGTGTTGTGAATACGAAGATTTATGGTTTGCGACCAGTTATCTGAAAAACATGCTCCGTGGATACATTATTAGATCGACGACCAAATCCCACTATTCGGTCAGACCGGAACTGGTGGGGAGTTCTGTTGACTAGCTGCCTTCCCTATAGTCTATCACTATTTGGTCAGACCAGAACTGGTGGGGGGGGGGTCTGTTGACTAG